CGGAAACCGAGCGCTTCGAGTACGAGACATCGGGCTCTGAGGATCCAGGAACATGGCAATCACTCTCTGACCTTATCCCAAGGAGAGAGTACTATGATCTTGCTGATCAAGCTCCTGGTGAAGAAGAAGTTGAACTACCACTGCTACCCGATCAGCCGGACAACACAACCACTGTTGTACCTCGGAGAAGATTGGTTCGGAAAACGACTTTCCGACCTGGTGAGTACACGGCCGATCCTGTACAAGATCGATTACAACATGAAGATGTGAATGAGTATGAGACCGCTGACCCCTTCTCTCCTTCGTCATCTACTACCAGACCAGTTCCAGAAACTGCTCCGGGTGAAGAACCAGGAACGAAGCGACCCAAGGTTGCGAGTCAGAAGAAGACGAAAATGACTGGTGAGATTGAGTATGACCTCCATTGGGTGGAAGAGCTGGAGGACGGTGCTGCATCTGAGGAAGCCAGTGGCAACATTCTCGAGGTGATGGAGGATGTCAATGAGTTCCTACGCGTGGAGATTGATCTGGAGCCTGTCTCTTCAAATCGACAGAAGAAGATGTTGATGAGGAATCCAGTGGCCTACATGGTCAAGAAGATGCGGGATTCCGAGGTGGTGATCAGCCGACTACCAGCTCATGAACGAGTACTCTTTGAAAGAGCCAAGGCGAAGGAGGTCGACAGCTTCCTGAAGAACGAGGCGGTCAGGAAGTGCCTCAGTTCCGAGGAGATCAAGCAAGCTTATGACAGCCAGCGCATTGTTCGAGCTCGTTGGGTGCTTACATGGAAGTTGGTACCGACGGATGAGCAACAGCAGGCGCTGGATGATGCAAAAGGCAATCCCAGCACCACGCATGATCGGCAAGGACGCCGAAAGGCCAAGGCGAGAATAGTTCTTCTTGGATTTCAGCACCCGAGTTTGCTTGACCCTACGTTTAAAACTGCGAGCCCCGTACAGTCCGTTTTGGGACGCAACCTCTTGTACCTGCTTGCTGCGCAACGACAATGGTCCTTAGAAGGACTAGACCTGGCGACAGCCTTCCTCCAAACCAATCCGACGGCGGCTGACGAATGTCTTTGGACGACTGGTGTTCAGGAACTCCGAGATGCTCTTGGTGTGGAGGAAGAAGGCATCATGAGGATTCTTCGTAACATCTATGGGTCCACGACGGCTCCTCGAGGATTGTGGCTGGACTTGCACAAGACTCTCACCAAGCTCGGTGCCATTGCTATTCTGGGAGAACGATGCTTGTGGGTGTGGTTTTCAAAAACAGAACGAGATCACCTCGGCTACAAGAAACTCCTGGGAGCTATGGGTGGCCACGTGGATGACTTTCACCGCGTGGGCGACAACACTTCACCAGAATGGTTGGAGATCAAAAAGGCTGTGGACAGCGCATACAAGTGGGGCATGGCAAAGAGTGGTTCCTACAGACATGCTGGCACTGACGTGACCACGGAGACAGCAAAGGATGGGACGCAGAAGATTGTGGTGGATCAATCTTACTACATCGAAGGCCTCCAGGACGTGGACATTCCTCCAGAACGACTTCAAGGTGGTGATGATGTCAGGATGAACAACAAGGACATCGCTGCGTGCCGTGCAGCACTAGGTGCTCTACAATGGTTGGCTGTGCAATCGCAACCACAGTTGTGCAGCCGTTGCAACCTTCTACTCACGGAGACAGTGACTAGTGGCACCTTGGCTGTGGCAAAGGAGATACAGATGATGATCAACGAAGTGCAGCGAGAATCCTTCAAGCTTCAGTTCTTCAAGCTGAAGCATGTCAAGCACTGGAGTGAGGTGGTGTTCATTTCCATGGGTGACCAGGCTCACAACAACCGACCAAAGGGTGACTCAACAGGAGGAATGGTCACTATGGCAGCCGGGCCAGAAGCACTGCAAGGTGTAGTGTGCCCGATGGTTCTACTGGCCTGGAGAACGTGGAAGCTGAAACGAAAGGCTATTGGTTCAAACGATGCGGAAGTTCAGTCAATCTTGGAGGCTGAGGACCAGAACTTCAGAGTACGCATGCTCTGGACTGAGCTGAATGGCGGATATGCAGATAAGCCCTTGCGCGTGGACCTCGTGGACACCATCGAGAAGCAGATCACTCAAGTACGGGGAGTTCTATGCACGGACTCCCGAGGAGGCTATGATGCTGTGGAGGTTAACGAGTCACCACTACTGGGTTTGTCGAACATGCGGTCGGCCCTACAAGCCTTTCAGCTACGCGATAACCTCAAGAGGACCAACAGCGAGCTTCGTTGGGTCAACTCCGAGTATGACCTGGCGGATGGACTCACCAAGAAGCGCCCCGACTCGCGAATCGGACTTCTCAAGTTCCTTCAGACCTGGCACTGGTCTATCGCCTTTGATCCGAGTTTTACTTCGGCTAAGAGAAGCAAGAAAGCCGGACGTACAGCAGTAGGCAGAGTTGAACAATTTGTTCGACAGCATGGCGAAAGCTCTGATATGGCTGAACCTTTTTTGGGGTTGATGCAACAGGTCCAGGATTTCGTGCTGTCAGCCAATCAGATGCAATCGCCGTGGCCACTATCTCCCGAAGATAGGGGCCCCTTTTCTTGCGAGCCACTCGACTAGCCATAGGCTACACGTCGGCCGCTGTGGTCGTGAAAAGCTTGTGCTGTGTGCGCATTGGAGTCCTTTCGTTTGTCTGAGCCCGAACGCTACAACTGTGCAACTTCGCTGCATACTACTACTACTACTACTACTACTACTACTACTACTACTGCGACTACGACGACGACGACGACTACTGCTACTACTACTACGACGACGACAATTACTGCTACTACTACTGAAACACCACCAACAACAACAACAACTACTACTACTACTACTACTACGACTACGACTACTACGACTACTACGTCTACGACTACTACTACTACTACTACGACGACGACGACGACGACGAATGTTAACAGTAGTAATCAAAGTATTGCTAATGGTGCTGATAATACTAACAGTTCCACTAATCATAAGTGTAGTTCCTTTCTATTCCAAATGTGCATCTATGTGTTTGTTTTTAGTTGCGCTCTTGCTTATTCATCATTTATGCATTCTCATTCGTCTATTCAGCAGCATATTTTTCATACACATACTCATATCTGCTTCTGTTTGTTAGAGTTGGGTTTGAGGCTGTGCCTATATCAGGTTAGTAATCTCAATATTTTCCTGCTCCTTATAAAGTTTTGTTCGAATAGTCGGCCCCACCCTGGAGTACAGAGGCAGGAGGGACCGTATTTCCGAAAATCTCTCGATGCAGGTTTTGTGTGGTCTGGAAACTTTTGGCTTGTAGCTGGATTTCATTTGCAGTTTGCAGGGGTTTCAATTAAGTTGTAGAGCGTACGTCCGAAGCCAACCCCGCCCTCCCCCCCGCCCCCCAACCCTGCAGCCCCAAACCTTACCTTCAATCCTACAATCTCCGCTCATAGAGGGGGATACAGAAATCATTCCGTGGACCGTTGAAGATGTAAGTCCCCAAACACTGAGCCCTTGTCCAGAAGCCCTTAGCCTTAGCTGCAAGCCGCGAGGACGGACAGCCAGTGACCATTTTGGTCGCGCCCTTAGCAGTCCAGGATGAAGCCAAAGGGGGTTTCCTGTAGATAGGGCTGAGACGTGTGAAAGAGAGACGGCTTCGGGTTTCGGGGTTCAGGGGTTCTAAAGCGGATTGTTGTGCTGGACCTTGTGGATGACTTACTCAGTGGATGAATATTCTTGGTCGAGGCCATGCAAAGGGAAGTTCGAACTTTGTTGGACCTGGTCATTGAAATTAGTGAGTCAAGGTTTCGGTTTGGAGATGGGAAAGGATCTTTGTCGGAATTTCTTACGAATTTGTGGCTTGGCGGAACATTGTCTCCTTGTTCCATGAGCGCTTTGGTCAAGCTGTCCAGCTTACTCATATCTCGGCGGGTAGTATAGAGGTCAGAAGAAATAATAATAGTATCCCCGTGTAGTCCCTTATCACTCTAGGTACTTTAGTTCTACTACTCAAAACAATCAAAGCCCTTGTCGAACTCAACACCTTGTCGAATCTTCAAGCCCCCCCCATTCTATGGCAAATCACAGCGGTTTTCCCGCCTGAACAACATAATCTCATGCGCTAGAATAGCTCTTTGCCTTTCTGTGGTGTCAGAGTTCGTGTGCCAGAAGCCTTTCACATGCCGATCGGTTTCCGGAAGTGTCAGGGGCTATTGCTCTACAGTTATGTTACATCCTGCTTGATTGCGTTGAGCATGTTGCGTTTTCTCTTCTCCCAGCTCGGATGCTGCTGCGAAGCCCTCCCTATGATGCCTGGTATCAGGGCCCTTGTATCACTCTTCAATCCCTGCACTCAGGAGTTTTATGGCATGGATGAGGGCATTATGGCCGACACGGGTGCTATGGTAGGCATCTGTGCTGAAAATGTCAGTCAGTCCAATCACTGCATCACAACTATCTTAGGGTTTTCGTTGCATTTCAAAGGCTTCTGGGCCAATTCGTGGTTGGAGTTTCGAGCTCACCGGTTTCACACAAGGGGCCAGAAGGACGGAACAGTACCGTCCACCAGTGGTAGGGCGCAGAGGGGCGAAGGAGCTAGGATGCCTGCCCTAGATTCCAACTTGAGCTCGGGCCTTTATGTAGGTAGCCCCCTAAACCCTAAACCCTAAACCGTGCTTTTGGCACCTAAACTAAAGCCTTATACCGTGAAGTATGGGTTTGTGGTTTGCTTTCCATTGCTTGGGCGACTGTCGCTGCGGCCTCCAAGTTAAGCACAGCTTATGTTTCTTGAGCTGATGAGCAGTTCAGGGTTTTAGGGTTTAGCTTACTTAGGGATTTTAGGGTTTTGGGTTTTATGGGATTTAGTTGAGTTGAAGTTGTGGATTTGGCATCTGGAGAGGCTTCGCCCGGGCTGCTGGGCTAGGTGAGGGCTTGAGGGTTTCTGAGTTAGGGTTTCCACAATTCATGAAGGAATGGATGCTTCAAACCTCTGAACCCTCAGGTATTTTGGTGGGCCTGTTGTTCTTCTTTGCCACTCTGGGTGCGCTGGCAGTGACCTTCATCTCCCATGCACCTTGGATTCTGCCCTTGGGGAAAGGCAGTTGGGACCGGGTACCTTCGAACTCAGACAGCTTTCTGTGGTCACCGCTACACCCTTGGCCCGCTAAGGTCAAGCGGTGATACGAAGAGGCGCGGATTTCGGGCTGTCATTTTTGGACCTACCTTGGGAGAAGCACTTCGGAACCTCTGCCCTGAACCTGAATCTCCCTGAAGCTTTAGACCAGGTTGTCGTGAGCCCTAACCCAGTTCCCCAATGCCGTGGCCTAGGCAATCCGCCTGTAAGTAATACCAACGACACCAAACCCCGAAGCACATAACACCACAAGGTGGGGGGGGGTCGAGGAGGCTATGATGAGCATGCCAGTAGCATTACGATGATAATGATCATGGTGGTGATGATGTTGATGACCCCAAATAGAGATGCCTGAAACAGACCCAAACCTCGAACCACACCGCACCGCAGAAAAGGGACAGCCCACCAACCAGCCCTCCTGGGGGTGCGGGGCCGGCCGAACCGGGATCATGCATATGTAAGCATACCTACATACATACATACATGCATACATGCATGTAGGCATAGACAGATAGATACAGGTGTAGATATGGCTAAAGATACCGATAAAGATTCGGATATAGATATAAAGGTAAAGATAGTTTTGTAGACTTTTTAGATGAGAGAAACGGCTGCTTAGCTTTACAGCTGTACTCTGGGCGTTGCAGGCATGGACTTGTCGGGTGCTGGCTGGTCGGCTGCCGCGAAAATACGTAGCGCGCCGGGGCCGAACCCGTTGATGGCAGGGACTTGTTGGAAAACTATAGCCTGATGCCTCTTCCACTACTTCATGTATCATTGTTACTATATTCAGATCTTTGGTTTATGTTGTGTGGTCTTGTCCTGCCGACGCTTTTCCTTTTCCCCATTGCCCGAGAGCCTGAACAAGGGTTCAGGGGTTTCGCGGAAGCGATTCGGGCACCGTCTTCTGCTTTCCGGGCTGTTTGGCCGAATTTTCGGTGGGCCTTCTTGTCGGGCCAACACCTTATAGCTCCTCCTCCTGGTTTCGCGCCGAGAGGGTCGGGACCAGGTGCGAGTGATGATGCAGTTGGGAATGGCTGCCTGTAAGTTTGAATTGCTGCGAGTACGACTTCCAGGACTATAGCAACAACTCCATCGGAATCGTTGTGATGGTGATGGCGGTTTCACTCATGGTCATCATCCACGCTAGGATAATGAGATAAGCTACAAAGGATTTGTTTGTTGCACCAGGGCCCCACGTTAAACAATGGCCGGACACTGCAAGTTTCGGGAGAGTTAGATTCGGTTTAGGTTGTGGCGAGCTTCGATGACAGATTTCTCACATCCAGAGTGACCGAGAACGAGAGGCTGCTTTGTAAAAGCACGTGTACCCTGCCGGTTTTAGCTTGACAGAAGCTGCAGTAGATAGCGGTACAACGGGTTCTGCTTGGCTACAGAGTGCCATGACATATATGTATGTCAATGTATGTATGTATAAATAAACAAATAAATAAATAAATATATATATATATACACATGATTATACATGATTATACATGTATATACATATATGTATATATATATATGTGTATATAAATATATGTATATATATATATGTATATATGTATGTATGTATGTATGTATGTATGTATGTATGTTTCTATGTATCTATGTATCTATGTATCTATGTACGTATGTGTATGTGTGTATGTGTACGTACGTACGTAGGTAGGTATGTATGTATGTATATAGGTAGGTAGGTAGGTAGGTAGGTAGGTAGGTAGGTAGGTAGGTAGGTCGGTGGGTGGGTGGGTGGGTAGGTAGGTAGGTAGGTAGGTAGGCAGGCAGGTAGGTAGGTAGGTAGGTAGGTATGTAGGTAGGTAGGTAGGTAGGTATGTATGTATTTATGTCTGTATGTATGTATGTACGTATTTATGTATGTCTTGGATAAACATGACCGATAACACCGCACCGATACATGCGATTTGAAAGCGTATGTGCATGATTATTGCGGCTCTAGCAATATGTAGTCCTTGATGCGCAGCTGTTCATTCTGGCTCTTTCTTTGCAGAGCAGGAGGAGGCGTTTACGTGATTTCTTGCTGCCAGCCGTCCGGCCGGTCGATGTTCCCAGTCTCCTAGGTGTTGACATGCGGTTTTTATGCAGCTTTGTATGGGGTCCCCCTGAAGAGCTGTTGCCAGTTTACGTTTGAATATACACCCAAGGGGCGATTAGCACTACTGCTTTTCTTTCGAGTCCAGTTCCGGAGGGGTCAAGTGTCTTAGTCCGAAGATCTACATTCCTGGACACGAAAGCTGGACGGTGTGGTTTTTCCACATTTTCGCGCTGGTCTTGCCGAGCCTGCACCGACGAAGGGTACTTCGCAAAATGGGAAGAAATGTGTTGATCATGGACGTTCAGAGGTTTAGGATGTCGGGCTGCTTCATGACCAGGGCATTAGGATAAACTTTTCAGTAGACTTACCTGAACATCGGGAAGATGTTGTTTAGCTGGCGAAATACAATAGGATTCGTGTGTAAGCTTCAGGGCACCAAGATTGCCACTCGCTCGAGCAACAATCTTACGTTCCCGCATATGTTGCGCTTGGCAAAAACACTTTGCAGTGATCGTTTCTCTGGGCGCCTAGACTGTCCCTAGGCTAGACCCCCCAGGAGTATTTCGGGGTTTCCTTTGGAAACCACATTGTAGGCAACAGGGCAGGCTTGTTCGGAAGGGGTTGCTGAGGCACCCGTGACTCATCCAGCTATGCGCGAGCCGAAAAAGCCCTAGTGGAGGGTCAGAAGCCACGAGAGGTTTGGGACTTTGCCACACCTCTAGATTGATAGATAGTCTCGTTCTTGCTGGGGTGTCCCCTGCCTGAGGCAGGGCCCCGGCAGACCCACTATAGAAGCAAAAGCGGCGCGTGAAGAAGAAGAGCGCTTAGGGAGTGGGCGCAGCTCCGTGCACTGCATGCCATGACCTGCCACGATTTTAGAATGATGCTAGAATCAGATTATAGGGTGAGGCCAAACGGCTTCCATTTCTCTCTGAAGTGAAATTCAGTCTCTCCTTCCATCTCTCTCCCCCTCTCTCTCTCTTTCTTTGTCTCTGTCTCTCGTGGACGCAGCCTTTGATGGCCCAAGCGCCTGCGGCCAGAGCTGGCCCCAAAGCCCCTGAGCATCAGATGCATGGGCTTCTGCGGTGTACTAATACACAATTTTTACAGAGGATTGCAAGGGCATGCTGTTACCAATTGTTTCGGTATACACTGATGATACGACGAAAACGACTAGAAGGTGATATTGTTACAATATAGATGTTCAGACCTCAGTATGTCTCGCGAGACTGGGGGGACTTCGTTTGTGGGTTTGCCGGGTTACTGCTGGTTACGCTACGGGTACAGGCTTATAGAGTATATGAGAAACCCCAGCTAGCCTCACTTTCGAAGTCTATACACCTTCATCAGGCCGCCAACTCCCGATCGCTAAGGCTATGTAGTTGTACCCCTGAACCTTCATCACCCCCTCCAAACTCCAAAGGTACGGAGGGGAGGAGGGTGGTGAAATAGAAAAGGCCTATAGAGCGTAACCCCGGAAGCAAGCCGAACGACTGAGGGGATTGAACTGACTGCCAAGGTTGCGCTGAGCTGAAGCGGACGCTTTCTCTAGTTTGGACTGCGGTCCGCTCGTAAGGATCCATGTGTTCTTGTAGGTGGAACTTCGGGGTTACAAGATTACGTGACCAATTCGGGCGTTTTCGTGTGCAGACAGCATAGATTTGGACATGCATTGACTGCAGTGGCATTCTGTTTTGCATGACCTGTTGCGGTCGCTTGAGAAAGCTCAAGTTCCAAAACCCAGCTCAGCAATCACACAATCCAAATGATGCCGAAGTTATGTTGCGCCACACTCCTCCGATAGCAAGGGTGCTTCATCATGCCCGCGGATGTACTGGTGGTGAAAGGGCAGTGCTTGCAAGCACTGTTCGACAGTTTGTGTTTCGGACGTTCCAGTCTATGTGAATCTGTCGACACTGCCCAGTGGAAGAGGCTGCGATGCGACCGATCACAGATACAGGATGGCAGCACGATGGAATTTGCTCATCTCCGTTATCCTGGAGAAGCATGAACCTCACTTGTCTTCTCATCCACAGACAGGTAGGCGTGAAACTAGCCAAAAGAAGTGACGAGCATGCAGGAACAAGCTTGAATGGTTGCCAACCGCTTAGCTGGGCACACCATCTCAAAGAGTCAGCGGGTAGTTTAGCAACGGAGTATGCCCGAGTTCGGTGATAAAAGATTTGTCCAGCAGCCTGCATACGGTTTGAGAGGGATCGCTTTTCGGTGCAGATTTTAGTCAGTCCTTGTGATTTGTGTTGATGTACCCGAAACCTGTATTTAGCCAATTTAGCCACCGTGCGAGAAGAGCTGGTCCTTGTTTCGTTTCAATGGGGCAAGTTTCCTAGGTAGTATTAGGGAGACCCCTTAAAGAGGACCCTTCTTAACCCTACTTCTGGCTCTCTTAAAAGGGACCTTATTGAGAGGGTCTATATCCCCAAAGAGTCCCCCTAATCCTAGCTCCCAAAGTTTGAATAGCTAAATCTGGCATGCAGTGCTTGTGAATGCTAAGTCAGCATGATAACCAGGGTTCGTCCAGTCACCGGGAGTGTCGTCATCGCTTCTTGTCGTGCAATCCTTGCCGCTGCAGCTTTCTGCAAGTCGTCCTGCCAATCATGCAAAACAATCTCGTTTCGCCCAGACCCTTCGGAACCCAAAGTGGGTAAAGCAGCTATGGTGTACGAGATCCCCGGACTCCTGGCAAGTCAGTTAGCAGCCGTGTAACTTACGGCCTGCAAGACTCAACAGCACACAACTGGCAGTGGTCGAAGAAGGAAGTGGTCAATGGTTGAATTGCGTGGCTTCCTGTATGTTCTCATGACAAGAGATGTGTGTGGGCAACTGTGCTCGCATTCGAGACATGCGTTCCCCGCAGCAATTTCTGAGAGCGAACTTATCCCTCCTATCCCGTTGTCGCCATGGAATGATGCGTTCCTGGCCGCTGTTTTTACTTGCTCTAGTGTCTAGGCCGCTCTTGAACATCGGTTATCAGTCTTAGTTCAATATATCCTCAGGATGGAACAGAAGCTCTAATCTTTCAATCGCCTCCACCACGAAGAGTCCCAGGTGCGAGCACAGAGACCGGGTCACAAGTGCCCCTCCTTGCTCCAAACTTCCAGACTTGTCCGAAGCCGTCAGGGTCATGTGGGGCCAGCCCACATTCCCTGCTTGATTCTTGGGGAGAAACTTAAAATCCATCTTGCTATCCATCTTGCTTTCTATAGTTTGAATTTCCGAAGATTTTGATAGGGAGCCCCGAAGCTCTAAGCCCAACCGACCCAGGATCCATCAGACATGGAAGACGCACCGCCTCGATAGCACCTCAAGGGACTGGTTTGCCACCTGGAGCGACAAGAACCCGAGCTGCGAGCACAAGCTTTGGAACGACACTGAAGTAGCTGCTCTAGTTCAGAGCACTTCTCCGGATGTGATCTGGCCGATTTGGCAGGGGCTCTTACCAGTCGAGCGGGCTGATGCATTCCGCTACCTTGTGCTGTGGGCTCATGGCGGATACTATGCTGACATCGATGTGTCATGCCTTGTGCCTATTTCAGAAATGCAGCTTCCCAACGACACTGACATGCTCCTCGGCCGCCCCAGCCCGTTCTTTCTGCGTATATGATATGAGCTAGGTGCAAGACTTATTGGATACAGCCTAGCCCTCTATAGGGGCTTTGTTGATGGGCCTTGCCTCCAGCCAGTCCAGGATCGTGGGCTACGAAACGGGGCGCCACCTGACCGAAGGCGAGCGCGACAGCGTGCACTTCTCACGCACGGACCAGTTCGAGCAGTGGTTCTTTGCATCCGCACCTCGAAATCCTGCCCTTGAGCTGCAGATTGAAATAAAGGCTTCCTAAGGCCTTACTGCTGTGGGCTGCCGTCTGAGGGTTTTGTTTGTCATGTTGGTGATTGTTTATGGTTTCGTTTATCAGGATCTGCAAGAGGAAGTCGTTTTTGGTTTCCCGTCTCCGAGGAGTTGGGAAAGGCTCCATACGAGTTCTACACGATTTAGCGTTCAGGGGTCTGTTTTGGGCGTTGCTGCTGCAGTGTTTGTCAGGTTGTCAACAGGTCGCTCAGGGAAGAGAGAAGAACCTACTGGTTACCCGGATTGTTCCTTAGGGCGACTTGTTGTCATTGAACTATGGCACCCTACTCAAGTGATTAAGGCTCCCATGCCCCTAAAAAGCGTGTTATGGAACCCTTGAAAGAACCTTAAACCCTAAGCCCTAAACCCTAAACCCTACATAAGCCCTAAACCCTAAAGCCCTATATTGGAAGCCAGGTGCTGCTTCGCTGTTTGGAGTTGATTCGGCAGAAGTTTGGCTGGAGGATCGAGTCCCTCTGAAGCAGCTTGAGATATTGTTTAGAGTTTAGGGGTTTAGGGTTTAGGGTTTCGGGTTTGATATAGAGGTCGGGATGGTGAGAACTTAAATGATTTTTCAGCTTATCGTCCTTAGAAGGCTATTCAGTACATGACATACCCCGTTCCTTGTGTCCAGAGTACGTTCATTCCTGAAATAATCCTGTTACTTAGGTTTTATACTGGCATCATTAAATATCTGAAGCTTCCCGACAGGTCTTCAAGTCTACCCAAACCCTTGAGCTATGACCCAGGTCCACAGAAGAGCTGACGGGGCCTGCCACCTTCACAGATGCCGTGCACGAGTTCTTGCTGACGCAGACGCCAGCAGCTTCGCCTGAGGGTCGAGTTTCGAAGGCTGGTGGTATGTTTGCGACATGGTACTCCATTCCATCATCTTCATGTTGGTATCTATGTAACTTTGTACTTGAAGATAAAGCAACGTACCATGCGATTGTTGCGCACTTTCTTACATCACACGATGGCACTCCTGCATTACAGTGTCAGATATCATTAAATAACTAAATAAGTAAATAGACAAATGCATATATATATATATATGTCTGTCTGTCTGTCTGTCTGTCTGTCTGTCTGTCTGTCTGTCTGTCTGCAAGGCTGTCTGTCTGTAGGTAGGTAGGTAGGTAGGTAGGTAGGTAGCTAGCTAGGTAGGTAGGTAGGTAGGTAGGTAGCTAGGTACGTAGCTAGGTAGGTAGGTAGGTAGGTAGGTAGGTATGTAGGAATGTATGTGCACGCGTGCATGTATGCCGGTATGTGTGCACGTGTACATATAAATAAATAAATATAAATATAAACATAAATATAAATATAAATATAAATATATATATATATGTATACACACATGTGTGTGACTACCTACCTATCTACCTACTTACCTACCTACTTACTTACCTACTTACCTAC